CTATTGTGTGGAATACTTTGAGGAGAATTAGTATTAGCTGTACTTGAATTTCTGGTAGAATTCTGCACTGAAGTCTTCTGGCTCTGGGTTTTTTTTGGTTGGGACCCCGAAGCAGGAATCAACAGGCATCTATGTAAAGTTACAAAGTTACACAAGGTTATACAAAGTTATACAAGGTTACCACAAGATGATAGGTATTGAGCAAAGAAGCTATAACTGTCATTTGTTTTAGGTGGGGGCTGATTAGCATGTCCTGTGGTCTAGGACCAAGGACCTAGGACCAAGAGGCCATCTAGTTCCTAGTTTTTTTAGAGACACTGACTGGGCTAGGGGACGGTGTTTTACATAGTTGGTGATGTGCTGACATTTCCTTTTCTTTTTTTGGAACTGCTGTGGCCTCCTGTCTTGTAGCCTAGGGTCAGAGGGTTTTTTTGTTTTGTTTTGTTTGCTTAGTTAGGGTATTTTTTTAATTTCTTTAGGGTCTTTTTAATTTCTTTATTACAATCTGTTGGTGCCCTGAACATATTAATATCACTCTAAGACGCTAAGTCTTTCAGCTTGTGATCTCTTGCCTCCCTATTACATTAGAGGGCTGAAATTATTGCCTTTGTTTGCTATTATGCCTGGCTCCATGCTTCTAGTTCTTTTAGACATATGGTAATTTTGTACTTAATTTTAGAGAAACTATCAGTGTTCCATAACATTTATAGTACTTTATATTCCTATTAGCAGTGTATAATGATGGAAATTTCTCCACTCCTCCCCAATACATGTTAGTTTTTTTTGCTTGTTTTGAGACAGGATCTCAAACCCAGACTGGCCTCAAACTCCCTACACAGATGAGGATGACCTTGAACTTCAGAACCCCCTGCCTTGACCTCCTAAGTACCAGGCTTACAGCCTTGGGCCAACACACTAGGTTGATGCAGTGTGCTGGAGATTATACCGAGGGCCCACATGGGCTCTACCAACTGACAAAAGTCCCCATCTCTTCTGTATGGCTCATAGGCTAGCCATTTTAGCTAAGGGATGAACTCCATGCTCCTCTGAGCATGTGTGTCTGGCCTGACCCTGGCCCAACTTGTTCTTAAATGGTGGGAATCATTCAAACAGCAAACCCTTTGTAGAATCAGCACCTCCCCTTTTTGTTGGTTTCAAACACAGGGTTTACTGTATCCCAGGCTGGCCTCCAGCTTATTAAGTAGCCAAGGATGACCTTGAACTCCAGACCCTCCTGCCTCCACCTCCCAAGTGCTGAGGTCACAGATGTAACTATTTTCTGTTTTGTACATGAGGCATTTTAATGGACATAAGATGATTCTCACATTGTGTGTGTGTGTGTGTGTGTATGAATGTGTGTGTATGTGGTATGTGTGTCTGTGTGTATGTTAGTTTGTGTGTATGTGTGTATTTACGTGTGAGTGTGTGTGTATGTGTATGTGAGTGTGAATATATGTGTATATGGTGTGTATGTTTGTGAGTGTATGTGAGTGCTAGTGTCTGTATGTGTGTCTCTGTATATGTGTGTATGTGTGTGTGTTAGTGTCTCTCTGTGTGTTTGTATGTATGTATGTGTGTATATATACACACACACACACGTATGTGGTGTGTATGTGTGTGAGTGTATGTGAGTGCTAGTATGTGTATGTGTGTCTGTGTGTGTATATGTATGTCTGCTTCTGTATATGTGTGTGTGTGTGTGAGAGAGAGAGTGTGTGAGTGTGTGTGTGTGTGTGTGTGTGTGTGTGTGTGTGTGTGTGTATGTGTGTGTGTGTGTGTGTTTCTGGAACCCAGGCCATTGATAGGCATGCACTTACCATTGATCTAGAGCCCCCTAGAGCCTCACATGATTCTGTGACATATACATACATGATGGCACCAGAATATTACATAGAGTGTTACAAAAAGAATATTCAGCTGCTGGTGGTGGCACACAGCTTTAATCCCAGCACTCAGGAGGCAGAGGCTGGTGGATCTCTGTGAATCTGAGGCCAGCCTATTCTACAGATCAAGTTCCAGAACAGCCAGGGCTACACAGAGAAACCCTGTCTGGGGGTGGTGGTGGGGAGATATTCACAGGATCTCTAGACAGGCCAATAAGGAATTATCACTGGTGTCCACACATATACAAGCTCCAGACCTTTCCAGTTGTAATCCCTCTGTGGGGTTGTTTGAGATTATTGCCCAGGGCGACCTTGAATTTGATCAATATTACAGCCCTGCATTACTAGGATTTTCAGGTGTGAGACTCTATGCCTGGCCTTCCTTGGACTTTTGCAGTACTAATTTATTCTACATGTTTATTAAATTCAAATTTGTAAACAGAAGCTTTTTGTTTTGCTAGTTAGAGTTTTTTCTTTTGTATAAATGGCTCTCTCATTTCTGGATGTTAGCTTTGAATCTTCAGATATATGTATCTCATTTGGAACATCCATAGAATCCAGGAATTTAGTAAGGGGCTATGGTGGTTTGAATAGGTATAGCCCCATAGATTCATGTGTTTGAATGCCTGGCCCATAAGGAGTGGCACTATTGGGAGGTGTGGCCTTGTTGGAGGAAGTGTCTCACTGTGGAGGTGGGCTTGGAGGTCTCACATACTCAAACTATGACCAGTGTGGCATATTCTCCTGATGCTGCCTGTAGACCAAGATGTAGACCTCTCAGCTCCTCCTCCAGCACCGTGTCTGCCTGCATGCCATCATACTTCCCTCTAACTGAGACCGCCGAAAAGCCCAGTTCTGCATTCCTGGTGGTTGTGGTGGCTCCTTTCCTGAAGTTGCCAGTTGCCCAAAACCCCACCTAACATCGTACCATACTTGGGCAAAAAGCCAGCTTGGGCAGGACATGCCATCACCCCAAGTCTAGTGCCCTGCCTTAGATCAGCCATGTGACTTTCTCCTGCTCCTTCCCCCACCCTGATCTGAGGACTGGAGGACTCACCTGGGAGTTGCTTTGCTCAAAATAAACTCTGAATTTTACATTTTAATTCGGCTTGATCTGGCTTATTTTGTCAGCAGAGAAACCTATTATTGGGCTACAAAAAACCTATTAAGTGTCTCTTCACAGCAATGAAACCCTAACTAACACAGAAGTTGGTAGCAAGAGTGGGGTATGGCTGTGATAGGCCTAACCATACTTTTGTTTGGAGAAATTTGGACTTTGGGAGTTTGAGTTAGGAAAGCAGTGGAATGTTTTAAGCCTGGTCAAAGTGAGGTTAGTCCTCCAGGTTCCTCCTCTACCAAAAAATGTCTCAGAGCTTCTGGGTCTGGCAACTAAAGTCTGATGCTTCTCTGTGGTAGCAGAAGATTAAATGGTGTCCTCTATGACAGCCAAAGACAGACCACTGCCCCTATCAAGACCATGGACGCATAGGGCACCCATGTAGGTAGTGGGTAAGTCTCTTTTATCTTAATTGAAACATAGGCCATTTGGATTATACTCTGTGCTTTAATTTATCCTTCTCATCATGCAGGCCCACCTGGTCCAGCCCTGGAGACTTAGCAGAGTGTGTCACCCCTACGCACATTTCTTGCCAGTCCTCAGGCAGTACTCTGACCTGCTCAGGGTCCTGATAACGTCTTCAGCTTCACTACAGCTATGCCCCTTTTAAAAGGGCAGAACCCTGCCTGCTCTTCTTCCCTTCCATCTCTCTCCCTCTCTCTCTCCCACTTCCCATAAGGCTACTCTGCACCCCCCCCAATAAACTCTTCACATGAGCTCCGTCTGCATGGTTGTCTGTCTCTCACACGTGGTTTGGACCCAACCTGCCAAAATTCCCCTTGCCCAGAATCATAACAAACTGTAGCTTGTTAGTTTAACAGCAGCAAGCATACCAGCTACAGCTGCTTTCTCCCTGTATGCAAAAATCAGGTCTCAGGCCTCCCTTCCTGGAGTTATGAGGTCTCTGCTGAGGAACAGCTAACCTTGCTGCCAGACTCTGAAGGGACGAACTCACAGATGCTTTTAACCCTAAGTCATTTTGGGTCCCCAAGCTTTTACTATTACTCAAAGACATGAGTCTACTGGATTTCTCTACAAAGTGCCTATTTAACATATCAAAGCAGACCTGGCCACCAGGTTCATCCCTCATACCCTGCCCCTTATCCTGAATTCTCCACCCCAGTGGCTGGGCTGCCCTTCCATGTATATCCCAGCCATTTTGGCTACTCCAGTACTTTTTTATCCTTTTTCTCTTTACCCTCCTGGTCTCCTGGCCTTCCTTTCCCTCCCTCTTCACATGGCCCAGCTCAGTCTGGTCATGTCCACTCTGGACTTTCCCAGATGTCCCTGCCTCTGGCTATGCTCTCCCTTTTATCTACAATAAACCTTCTCCACCACACCTAGGAACAGTCATGTCCTCTCTTTTTTTTGTTTGTTTTTTGTTTTTGTTTTTTGGGACAGGGCTTCTCTATGTAGCTTTGTAGACCAGGCTGGCCTTAAACTCAAAGAGATCCACCGTCTCTGCCTCCTAGTGCTGGGATTAAAGGCGTGCGCCACCACTGCCGGGCTATGTAATAAGACTTTCTGCTGAAACTGCCTGAGCCCTGCTGCCACATGGGCGCTTTCTACTAGCCACCCGAGTTCTGCCCACTGCGTTAGGGCCCCAAATAACACATAGAGATTTATATTAGTTTACAATGCTGATGGTTGACTAAGATTTCTTATATGCTAGCTCAGTCTTAATTATCATAAATCTATATATTTTATAAGACTTATCTTATCAAGGATGCTTTCCGCTGGCTGGCGTCCTCTTCCCGGGATCACATGGTGGCTCCCTAGAGATGAGAGCAGGAGGAAAAGGAGGAGCAAGAGGGCGATTTCCTGCTTATATTCTGAGTAGGCCTGCTATATCACTTCCTGACTGGATCACAAGACTTATCTTACTACATTTCCCAGAATCCTCCTTGACTCCTAGTCCCACCTAGCTTGCTTCTTCATTGGCCAACAGTACTTTATTTATCAACCAATAAGATAAACATACACAGAAGGACATTTCCCCATCACAGCTATGTCATTTTTTATTTATTTTTGTTATATTCCAAGTGTTCACCCCTGAATCAGATATTTAGGAGTGGTTGTAGAAGAGGGAGTAGAAAGACTGTAAGAGGCAGAGGTGGTGGATAACTCCATGCAAACTGTTTTCCAGACAAACTAGAGCAGATGTGTATATGAACTCATAGCAATTTTGTCAGCATGCACAGGTCTGCACAGGCCCCAGCCACACACCATCCTATCGGAGAGTTGGTTGACAGTGTCTGAGAAGCTACTAGTATCTGACAGCTCTCAGAAGAGGGAGAGCTGGGTTTTTGTCTTCTTGTTGCTTGTAGCCTTGACGGTCCTGGAACTTGCTCTGTAGACCAGGCTATCCTCAAACTCAGAGATCCGGCTGCCTCTGCCTCCCAAGTGCTGGGGTTAAAGAGGTGTGCCACCATCGCCAGGCTCTTGTTTTTAATGATGAGGTAGGTTGGTGCCCCGGTAGAGTGACCACACACCACAGCAGGATCCAAACCCAAGACTAGCTGAACAATACAAACCGGACTTGGTGGGTAAAGAAGAGAAAAGAGTAATTTCAAAGATGGGTGGAAAGTGATGGGAGGTTTGGCAAGGATGGAGCAGGGGTGTGGGGTTTGCTAAAGTACATTCAAAATAAATTGTATGAAATTCTCAATAAAATATTTTTATTAAGTATTAATTAAATGTATATAAATGGAATTATTTTGTATGGACTTTGTAGGCTTCTGGTTTTGCCCAACATGTAGGGAAGCTTCTTCAGGTTTGTGTAGCTCTCGGTGTTCCTTCCTTCCTTCCTTCCTTCCTTCCTTCCTTCCTTCCTCTTTTCTTTTTTGTTTTGGTTTTTCGAGACAGGATTTCTCTGTGTCACTCGCTCTGTAGACCAGGCTGGCCTCGAACTCAGAGATCCGCCTGCTTCTGCCTCCTTTAACCCCAGCATTTGGGATTAAAGGTGTGTGCCACAGCCTGGCTTAACAGATTTCACATCAGGATATTTTCCTTCAGGTTTCTGCAAATGGGTATCTACTAGAAGGATGAAACCGCTGCTCCGCTCCGGTTGCTGCGCGCCAGAGGCTCCACCACGCCTCTCGTACCGGGGAGGAGCGGGCAACTCGGCCTTCGCCCCCGCTGCCGTAACTCACCTTAGCCGCCCTGCTCTCCCGGCGCGGGCCATCCGTACCGGAACTGAGGTCGGGTGGGCTCAGTTGCGTTCCACCACATTCACCGGCAGACACTCTCCAAGGAGAACTAACCAGTCGCTCAAATCTCGGACAGACCCACTGCAGCAACTACCACAATCAGCCTGCGGCTGCGCGACCCACTAAAAGCCCACCGCAAACTACACTTCCCAGGAGGCTTTGCACAGGTCAGAAATGGGAATCCGTTTCCCAGGGGCCGGGCCGGGACTTTTCTGGCACAGGCTTCTGGGTAATGTAGTTCTGGGGCCGGCATTGTTAGCGGCCGTTCCCTCTGTGTCCAGGCTCCTGGAAGGAATCTGGCTTTGTGCATTCTCAAGGAAGTAATTGTGGCACAGATATGGAATTGAGAGAGTGGGAGGAGATCTATGTCCAGGAAGGTGGAATGATCTGGCCCGCCATCCGACTGGAGAGGTGACACTGACAATGTCCACTCTCAGGTGTTCTGAAAGAAGGTCTTGATGGCAGCCTAAGCTTGGTCTAGACTCTGATACTCCCACCTTATCCCACTGGATGCAGGGCGTGCTTAGCTTTCATGTCTATGCAGCCAGCGTCAGCACTGTTACCTGGGAGGCTACCAGTGCCCAGACTTCTCCTGCTGTGATGCTAGCCTTCTGTACTCCCCCCCATAATTCCAATGTACTCATTTCACACCCTGATGTAATAATATCTGCCATGATTATGTAGGCCTCTGAAACAAGATATTATGAAAATGTTGTGTGTGGATCATTAAGCTAAGTCATAAAGGCTGCATTTCTTGCCTTGCTCCCTAGGCTCTAGGAGAGCCAACACCATGTCTTAAGGACATTAGATCTCAATGACAAGAAACTGGTCTCTTGCCTACACCCTTCACAGATTTGCTTCTTATAAGTGGAACTGATCTTGGAGGTACATCTCATGAGAGGCCCTGCGTTAGGACACCACAGATAGATACAGTAGAAGATAACTAAAGCCTGTTGTTTTGACCCACTTATTTGAGGAGCGGCAGTCTCTTGTACAACACTATATAACAAAAAAGATAGAATTAATTTAACTAAGTGAAGACAAATTCCAGCATTTAGGATAAGGTTGCAGTTTTTTTTTAATCTAAGTTGTTTTATTTACCAATAAAGACTTGAGAGTCAGATATTGGGGTGATTAGAGAACCGAGAAGCAACTAGCTGATGTTCCTTTTTGGCCAGAGACACAGCAAGACAGTGTTTCTCCTACCATCCCAAGCCAAAAAGGACTTGAAAAAGTCCAAGTCTCTCACTGTTCCTTCCTGTGGTGCTCTCATCTGTCTTCTGAGGTCCTCCGCACTGTCTATGGCTAATTCTTGTCAACTAGTGGCTGGCTCCATTCCCTGATCTAAGGTTAATTTTGTTAACACAGTCTTGGAGTTTCACAGTGTGATCAAATATCTCACAACGGGTTACTATGAAAACAAATGCAAAAGAGCTAGACAAAAATCCAGCAATGGGCAGAAGCCAGGAGAAGAGAAGATGGTATTAAAGGAAGTTCAGATGCTGTGAGACCTTTACACCAGGCCTTTCAAGTTCTTTCTGCTTACCTCCCTTTGCACCTGAGTAATAGTTACATGGCCCTGGATTTGAAGATGTGTAGAATAGGTGTGCAAATCAAATATAGTTGATAATAAATCAACGCAACTTTATTTTGGTTGAGAATGATAGCATAAACCTTTACTCCTAGCACTCACAAGGCAGAGAGGCAGGAGGATCTCCATGAATTCAAGACCTATGTAATGAGAACATGTCTCAATTTAAAAACAAAAGTAACTTCATCTTACAACTTCTGGTACACATTCAATTTTACCATTTGTTGCTTTTTGTTTCTTTGTTTTGAGACAGTGTCTATGTATTCCCTGGCTGTCCTGGAATTTATGTAGGCCAGGCTGGCCTTGTATACTGAGATCATACTGCCTCTACTTCCCGAGTGCTGAGATTAAATCTGTGTGCCACCATACCAGAATTTTACCATTTATTAATAAGAGAAGCAAGTTAAATACTAATGAGATGGATATGCTTGTGTTGGGGAGATGTCTCAGCAAGCAGAGGTGTGTGCAAATCCTGAAGACCTGAATTCAACCTCCAGATCCCACAAGGTGGCAGGAGAGAACCAAATCCTGAAGAGTTGTACTCTGACTCCACAGAGCACACTCCTATGCCCCTACACACACACACACACACACACACACACCTATACACATACCCCTACACACATTCACACACACACACACACACACACACACACACACACATACACACACACCCCTACACCCATCCACACACACACTCACACACACACACACACACACACACACACACACCTATACACATATCCCTACACACATACACACACACACACACACACACACACACACACACACACCCCTACATGCACACTTGCACATACACCTGCACACATACCTACTCATACACATACATCTATTCACATTCATGCACACTCACAGATACACCTGTACACACACCTACTCTCATGCACACACACACACACACACACACACGTTTATTTACACACCCTACATGCACACTTGCACCTACACCTACACCCATACACACATACACAACTACACACACACTGATATACACTACACACGGAGTAAATAGATAATACATTTTAAATTATTTTTCTTTTATGTACATGAGTCTTTTGCCTGCATGTATGTCTGTGCACCACGAGTGTGCCTAGTGATCAAAAAGGCCAGAAGATGACAATACATCCCCTAGAACTGGAGTTACAAACAGTTGTGAGATGCTGGGACTTGAACTTGGTTCTTCTGGAATAGTAGTCAGGCTTTGAACCACATAGTCACCTCTCCAGCTCCATAAAGCATAATTAAAAAGAATTCTGGCTGGATAGCTGGTTCTCTGTGGAGTGTAGAGCATCTTCAGTAGGTGAGCCATACTTGATCTGTCAGTGGTCAATGTGGAGAACACCCTTGTGCATAACAGTGTACTGCATAGTAGCAGGAGTGTGTTCAGGGTCATGTCAGAAATTGCTGGAAATTCTGTCTAATCCCTAGACAAAATTTATTTAACAGTTTTTTTTAAAGTAAAGTCCAGGCCAACAACTCAAATGTATCTTTAACATTTATCTATTGTGTGTGTGAGCATTCGCATGCTCGTGTGTGTGTGTGTGTGTGTGTGTGTGTGTGTGTGTGTGTGTGTGTGTGTACACATGTACTTTGGTTACCATTTATTGCAGTGAGGAGATATCATGACCAAGGCAACTTGAAAAGGCAATTTGAGGGCTCATGTTTCTAGAGAGTAGCAGAGTTGATGAACATTATGGCAGGGATACAAGGCAACAGGCAGGCATGGAGCTTGAGCAGTAGCTGAGAGCATGAAGCGGGGGAGGGGAAACAGTCATATCAGCATTCTGAACAGGATGATCAGAGACAGAAAACTGAAGAGTCAAAAGGTCACGAGGGCTGATTGCTAACCGAAGCTCAGCTCTTCCATACCGCTCAACGGGGAAGCAGAGGACAAGTCAGTAAAGCAGGCAAGACAGCAGAATTGCAGGGAGCTTGGAATATCTCAAGTTCAATCTTAGCAACGTTCGTTCTGGGATGGCAAACAAAGCATTTCACATCTTAGTGTCTGGAACATTTGACCACAAATATATAGAAGAGGGGATCTCAGTTGTGGCTTTATTGCTGTGAATTGTTGTGGGATAATCTTTTTGTACACTGTGAAGATGTGTCTCGGCTAGAGCACCTTCTGCTTGGTTTAATAAAGAGCAGAGTGGCCAATAGCTAGGCAAGAGAGGCTAGGTGGGACTTCTGGGGAGAGAGAGATTGGAACTCCGGGGAAGGAATCAGGCACAGGGATTCACCACTGAGATGCATAGGAAGGTCACACACACACTATGGAGGAGAGGTAATGAGCCACGTGGCAGAATGTAGATTTAAAATTTGTTAATTTAAGTTATAAGAGCTACTTGGGAATGAGCCTAAGCTAAGGCCAAGTTTTCATAATTAATGGGAAATCTCTGGGTCATTATTTGGGAGCTTGAGGCCCAAAGAAATCCCAATTACAGTGAATAGATGCCATGACTATGTCAGCTCTTTTAAAGGGTTTGCTTACAGTTTCAGAGGGTTAGTCCATTATTATCATGGCAGGAAGCATGGTGGTGTCAGGCATACATGGTTTTGGAGAAGGAGCTAAGAGTTCTGCATCTGGATCCACAGGTAGCAGGAAGAGAAAGTGAGCCATTGGCCTGGCTTGAGCTTCTGAAAGTCCACCTCTGGTGACACACTTCCTCCAACAAGGCCATACCTTTCCAACAAAGCCACACCTCCTAACAGTGCCTAATAGTGGCCCTTTGGGGGCTATTTTTGTTCAAACCACCATATTCCATTCCTTGGTCCTCACAATGTGAAACTGTACTTAGTCCAACTTTAAAAGTCCTGACAGTATATAACTGTCTCAAATTCAAAAGTCCTGATAGTATATAACTGTCTCAGATTTGTTTCAAGGTCCAAATTCCTAAGTCTCTTCTGAGACCCGTGCAATCTCTTAACTGTAATCCCCTGAAAATTACAATAAAAAGCAGATCACATACTTCCAACATACAATGGCACAGGATATACATTCACCATTCCAAAATGTAGGGAAGGGAGCACAGTGAGGAAATATGGGGCCAAAGCAAGACCAAACCAGCTGGGCAGACTCCAAACTGCATCTCCATGACTAGTGTCAAAGCGCTCTTCAGATCTCCAACTCCTTTCAGTTCTGTTGACTGAACACACTTCTTTCTCTTGGGCTGGTTCCACGCCCTGTTAGCAACTTTTCCCTGGCAGGTGTCCATGGCTCTAGCATCTCTAACATCTTAGGGTCTTCAAGGCAAATCAAAGCTTCAGCTTCACACAATGGCCTCTCTAGGCGTCCATTCAGGGACCCCCGACACACGCCTGGACTCCAGGGCTTTTCTTAGGTATGGAGGGAAATTCCATAACCCTTTTCTTTTGTCTTTGACTCTAAAGCCAGAAGCATGTAGCTGAAGCTGCCAAGTTCTGCTGCTTGCTGGGCCTGGAACATGTAGGTGGATTTTCTCTGTCTCGGCAGCCTCTCCCAAATAACCACTCAGAGACTTATTATTAATTATAAATGCTTGGCCAATAGCTCA